CGTGGTGCTCGTCGGGGCCCGACGACAGCCGGGCGACGATGCCGCTCTTCAGCAGGCCGCCGCGCTTCCACGCGAGCGCGCCGACGAGGCCCGTCGTTAACGCGCCGATCGCGCCGCCGCCGTGCGCGTGGAGCTTCTCGGCGACGAACATGGGCAGCAGGCCCGTGAGGAGCGTCGCCACCGTGCGCTTCCAGGGCCGGTCCCAGAGCGACGTCAACCCCACGAGGCCGCCGCCGAGGACGCCGTAGAGAGCGCCGACGACGACGGAGATGGGCCCGTGCGTCGCGTTCTCCACGACCGTCCCGTGGCCGCCCGCGAGGCCGATGCACACGGAGAAGCCGAGCATGGCGACGATGTCGTCCATGGACGCCGCGGCGACGACGATGGACGGGATGCCCTTGGCCGTGCCGAAGCCCCGCTGGTGCAGGTCGAACATGCCGACGACGACGACGGCGGGGCTCACGGCCGCTAGGATGAAGCCGAGCGATAAAGACAGCATGAAGGGCATGGCGAAGACGTAGGACGCCACGACGCCGACGGCCAGCGCCTCCGAGAGGCCCGGCATGACCGTCAGCCGCAGGCTCACCGCGCCCGCGCGGCGGATCGCGTCGACGTCGAGCTCTAGACCGCTCCGCATCATGATGACGCCCAGCCCGAAGCTCCGGATCGCCGCCTTCCAGTGGCCCGTGAGCGCCGACGCGTGGAAGACCCGCAGGTTCCGCAGCGCGACGCCCCCCAGGAGCTGCCCCGCGAGCGGCGGCAGGCCGACGCCGCCGAGCACCTTGCCGCAGACGTTCGCGCCGAGCCAGGTGACGAAGAGCGCCCAGCCCGGCCCGTTGCGCGGCAGCATGAGCTTGCCGTGGCTCAAAGGCGAGAAGACGGCCACGAGCAGCCCCAGACCGCAGAGCAGCGCCTGGCTCAGGTTCGCGTCGACGTCGATGTGGCGGTCGATCTGCGGCGCGAGCCGCACCGTCCGCTTCACGAGGAGCGCGATGGAGTTCGTGCGCGCCCTCAGCCGCAGGACCGTCGCCGCCCGGCTCAGCCGCGACGGCCGGGCCGACGGCGTCTCCTCCCCGTCGTCGTCCATTGTTGCCGCCCGCGTTTCCGCGCCCACAGTTGTTGACGATTGGCTGCCCGGGGTGCAGTTTCGCGATGCCTTCACTTCAGCTCAGGCAACGACAACCTTCACACTAACCTTCACCACTGCACCTTGCAGCACTGCTTGCAGCCTCAAAAGCTCCGCATGGCCTTTGACATTCCGGCTCGTAACTAGTGCCATTCATGCTCTTCATCGCGCTCGCTCTCATGGCGACGACGACGGACGCCCTCGTGGGCCTCGGCGTCGACCTCGGCACGTCGGGCGTGCGCGTCTGCGTCGTCGAGCGCGGCGCTCGGGGCGTGTCGATCCTCAGCGAGGGGGCGACGCGCTGGACCGACGACGAGGGCCGCGAGCCCGCCGTCTGGCTGCGCGCCCTGCGCGAGACCATCGCGAAATGCGACGACGCCGCCGTGGCGCGCGTCGGGCGCGTCGCCGTCTCCGGCACGTCCGCGTCGACGCTGCTCGTCGACGGCGCGACGGGCGCGGTGCGGCGGCCGCCGATGATGTACTCCGACGCCGTCGGCGGCGACGCCGGCGCCGCGGCGCTCGGCGCCATCGACGCGCACGCGCCGCCGGGCCACACGTGCCGCGGCGCGACGTCGGCCCTCGCGAAGCTCCTGGCCTGGGCCGCCGACGCGCCGCTGGGGGCACAGGACGTCGCGGCGCACCAGGCGGACTACGTGGCGGCGGCGCTCTGCGCGGGCGTCGACGGCGAACAACTCGCCGCGCCGCCGGCGCTGCGCAGCGACTGGCACAACGCTTTGAAGATGGGCTTCGACGTCGTGGAGCTGCGATGGCCCGCCTGGCTCCTACGAGGGCGCGATGCCCGCGGTCGGCGCGGCGCCGGCCGCCCTCGAGCGCCTCGGCGTCCTGCGCCCCGGCGTCGCCGACGAGCGGCGCGCGGTCTCCGAGGCGGCGGCGGCGCACTGGCGCCTGCCCGAGGGCGCGGCCGTCGTCGGCGGCACGACGGATTCCATCGCCGCGTTCCTCGCGTGCTCCTGCGACGCCGCGGCGGGCGTCGTCCGCGTCGAGCCCGGCCGCGCGGTCACGTCCCTTGGCTCGACGACGGCGCTCAAGCTCGTGAGCGACGTGAAAATCGACGACGCGGCGACGGGCGTCTACAGCCACCGCCTCGACCCGCGCGGAACTCGAATCTTCAACCCGACTTCAATGTGCGCGTATGCGACGGTGGTGATGCGAGCTTTTTCACCGTGCTTCAAGAACTCGACGAGAGCGATCGATTTGTCCAGAAATCAGCCGAATCGACGTCGAATCGACCGAGCTAGAGAGTTCCGAGGTTTGNTCGGGAGAACCCAT